TATCATTATCATAATAGATTCATTATTATGCCATTTGCGTTGAGTTCTAGTATAGGATGTGAATAAGAGGATAAATACATGCTTCTTTCTTATTACGTTCCACCCGCTTAAAAATAAAATAAAATAATAATAATAAAATGGGTTCATGATTTTAATTTATCGATTTGTTTTGATATGTATCATGTCATTTGTGATAGGATAACAAAACGGTCGGATCTGCGGGCCGGTCCACTAGAATATGGCGAGGCAAGTTGATGTTTTTAGTCCACGATCTGCTTTAACCCGTCCCGTCAAGCCCGTCAAGCCAGAGACAGGCGAGCCTAGCCCGCGACCGCCTAATTAATAAAAAATTAAATTTTTATTATAATAAAAAGATAATATATAAAGTTAAAATTTTTAAAAAAATAATTAAAAAAGTTTCACTCTCACATAAAATATTCTTCTTACTTGAAACACAACATTCTCTCTTGTTCTCCTTATTCATCCTAAATACTAATTATTTTTATCCTTTATGACTTGAATTAAAGGTGTAATAATTACTTAACAAAAAATAATGTGAAGTTTTATCAAATAAAAAAGATATAGGTATTTAAAATTTTCAATATAAAAAATATAAATTTTACAAGTTTTAACGTTATATATATATATATATATATATATATATATATATATTTGTTATTATTTATTATTATGTAAATTTTATTATTGTTCTAAATTATAATTTCTTAAAACAATGAATTGATTTATATTATTAAATTGAAATAATATATATATATATATATATATATTAAATTATTGACAAACAAATAATAATCTTATTATTAAATTTATTTTAAAAAATAAATTATTTTTTTCTAAATTATGACAGGTCGACCACAAGCTAGCCCTTTGGCAGGGTCGACTAAAGTTTATAGCTCGTCATGACTATAACGAGCTAGCATGTCTCACCCGCTTTTGACGGGCCAAAGGTGGAACGAGCCAAAGCGGTACGGTGACCAGTTCTGCTATCCCTAGTTTGTTGTGATCAGGTCAAAGACAAAATAAATTAACCTACTTAAAAAGATATTTATATATTAAAATAAAAGTTAAAATATCATATTTTTTATGTTATATTATTAAAATATATAAATATATTATAATATTATAATTTAAATTATAAAAATTTATTTATTTAATTAAATTTGGTATTTAATAAATATAATATATACGATTTTTTATACATAAATATAAGATTTTTTTAATAAAATATTAATTAATAAATTAAAAATTAAAAATTATTTATATAATTACAAATATATATATTTTTTAAAATACATATAAATAATTTTATATAAAAAAATTATTGATAAATTACTTCGTTGATTCTTTAATAATTGTGAGAATTTATAATTCGTTTTGATTATGACCATTAATTTAGTATTTTTTTAAAAATATAAATAAATAGGAGAAAAAGGGGACGGAGATCATTTCATAATATTTATAAACAAAATATTAGCTTATTTTTTAACTATCCTAAAAAGATGTAATATTTGAAATAATTTATTTATAAGTTAAAATTAATTTATATAAATCCACTCGGAGAAGTTTTGAAAATGATATATCTTTATATTTTTTAACTTTTACTTTTATTGATACGTAAACTAATTTTATTTTATATTTTTATCTTTTAGAAGTTATATCTAAAACAAAACCACATGATTTTATAAGTTGTTTCATCCATATCCATTTTGAAAGGATAAAATGTCAAATACGGAGTTGTAATTTCAAAAAGATTTTATTAGATAGATTGAAGGTGTAGATATTTAAATCACATAAAATTATCTTTTATAGACCAACAAGATACATAATAACAAAATGTCATATTAATAATAACAGTTTATAAATATTATATTTCTTAGTTTATTGATAATTATTTTAAAAATAAATCGTGAAACTTATATAAGAAAAATAATATAGATATTTTTTAGTTAATGTAAATCGGGAAGCTTTTTGTTCCGCTATTTGTCTGTTACTTTTAGGTATTCATACTAATTGACCTTTTAAAAAATTCTATAAGTTGTCCAATGAATTGTAAATTTAAATAAAATCAATCACTTAAAAAATAACTCTAAATTCGTAAATATCTAAACAAAAATAAAATAAAAATGTAAACAATTCTTTAATATGGATGTTTCTGTTATCAATAAATTTGATTTTGATTACAATAAATGTGACTTAGCAGTACATAATGTATGAATTTAGAACATTAACATTAAAAAGATAATGATTTCACAGGAGACAGACAAATCTTGTAACCATGAGGGCATACAGAGGATCATTATCTCGTATAAAACAAATCGTCAAATATAGTGAAGATAGAAAATAAAACACTATGCAGTTTCTTTTTCGAGTTGTTTAAAATATTCCGCATCAACGATTCCCTCTCTAATTTTTTTCCACTCACATTGACAATTATAACCTAAGTAATAATAAAAAGACTAGTTAGGTTGGCGGTTCGAGGGCAGGCCCACATCACAACGAAGCGGGCCACAATATGCGACAAGCTCGTGGTGGGGGCCCACACCACAACCAGTTTCCACCTCATTGCTAAACGTGGCCCACTCAGAACGTGTTTCTCTCCCTCATACTTGTCAATTTCTTAATTACTCTATTATCATACTAATTTATAATAAACAATTAGGTTTAATTAATGCTCCTAAATAAAACCACTTAATCGCAACGCAACACCCGGTTTCGTGCTAGTCTTGGATTGGCCTGTTCCACCACACGAATAAGCCAAACGCCACCTTTGCCGCTTCCAATTGCCATTGTCCTCTTCAAAACGACGACGTCACTGGAACTTACACGTAACAATCTCCGTTTAGCGTAATCAACATAAATGTAACACGCTGATTTTTAATAAATATGTAAATTAAAGTATATTATATCAATGATTCATGTTTAGAATAAGAATTCATTTTTTTTTTTCAAATAATTTAACTTTTTATTGTTATTTGCAGTGTAGAAAGCACGGGATAAAACTATACTTTCGAACATTTCAATAAAAAAACTTAACTTTCTTATAAGTAAAAACAACGTGTAAAATACTGTGTCAGGTTAAAAAAATTACAAACAATTGTTGTGTAGCGAATATTCGGGATTGAATATAATAAAACAAAGCCGGGCCACATGCGCTGGCTGCCACGTGGAGTGTAGCCCTCGAAAATTCTGAAAACTCCAACAGAATAAAATAAATACCATTCTCATCACTTTTATTTTTAAATCACAAAAAAATAAAAATACACCCCAATAACACATCTCTTAATTATTTTAATTAATAAATAAATCATTAATATATAATTTAAAATTTTTAAAATAATAACAACCAATTATTAGTTGATAATATAACAAATCTAATTAATTTTTAAATTTGAAAAAATGTACAATTTACTATTAAAAATTGAAATGATTATTTAAGATGATAAAATTAAATTTGATAATAATTCACTTTAAAATTATATTTATATGAAATTTAATTAATTGTAAATTTTACAATAGTTATAATTTGTATATATTGCTAAAATTTTATAATATGTGTATATATTGTAAATGTAAAATTTATTGTTTCGAATAAAATAGATTTGTATATATTTTAAATGTTAATGTTTATAGTGAGTTTTTTTGGCCATTGAATTTATATATATAAAAAATGATTATTTCTTTTATGAACGTATATGAGTTTAAATACTAATTTATTGTGTAAGTCATGAAACTTGGTTGTAGATTAAGTACAAGAGAATTCATTTGGTTGTAAGGATGTTAACAACATAATTATTTTAATAGTATCTTCTTTTGTTATAGGTTACATATTTAACTATCTAGTATTAAAGTTATTTTAATTTAATATTAATTTTAAATAAATAAAATTTACAATTAGGTTAATTAATTATTCCATTTGCTTCACTTAACTAAAATAATTCATACAATAAATTACTATAATCATCTACTCCAAATTTAATGCATATATAATTTAAATTTATTCATTTATTTGTAAAAGTATAGCTTTTTAATATTTTTTTCATAATTGTTTATTTTAAATTATTATATGTTTTTTCCCGAAATCTTTATTAAATTTATATAACCAAATTTCAAAATTAATAACTTATTTGTTTTCTTAAAATTTAAACCTCATGTTCCAAATAAATTTTAATTCTTATTCAGTTATTTAAAATTGAAAAATAATTAAAATCAAAATAAAATAATTTTTTAAATAATAAATGATTTTTTTAAAGGTCCGACGGAGATATACAAAATAAAAATAAAGGTATAACCGTTATTCTCACACAGTGATTATTGATAATGCATTCTAAAAATTTTTGGACTTTTCTTATCTAAAAGTTTTTTTTTTTTTCAGAGTTTTTAAAGTTTGTTAGTAATTTGAGCAAGGTTCGTGGGAAATGAGAGATAAAACATTTTAATTTTGATTAGGAGAGAACATTGAAGTTAATAGTATTAAGAGGAAGGAGGGAGCAGAAGAAGAAAGAGAAGAACGCGGGGAGAGAAGAGAAGAAAAGCGAGTGCGGAGACTGAGTAAAAGTAGAGTTGGGATGAAGACTTTTAGGTTACAAAGAAAGATGAGGTTAAACGAATAGTATACGTTAGTATTTATTTGTATAATAGTATTCGTAAAGACGAAAAGCGGCATCGAGAATATAAATAAGGGATTAAGAATAGCATAGAGAAAGTGGAATCTTCAATCAATCTGGTAACGGAACTTTTTTATGAGTTCCGTTTAGTAGCTAGCTTAGCTGTGTGGAGACGACAAATACCACCACCCATTTCCAACCATACACAGAGCCCATTACCTCCTTGTTTCTTCCGTCCAACAACAAACGTATAAACCTCGGAATTTGCCTCCTCTCTGTTTTAACCCCTTCCCACTTGCTTCTTTGCTTCTACGCTAAGAGTTCAAACGCGATCTGCTTTTCTTTTCTTTGATTTGTACATTCATTCCTGGGGAAATGTGGTGGATGATGGGCGAGACCGGAGGCAATTACTGTTCCAAGAAGAGCGATGATCTGTGCAGCAATGTTTGTGGGCAGGTATCAAATCGAAAATCAATTAAAGTGTTTTTTTTTTTTTTTTTGGTTTTGGTGTGGATAATTTTTTTTTTTTTCTGTTGTGGCTTCGATTTGCTTATTTAGTTTATGGATTTCGTGATTCTCTAAAGAAAAGTCCAGTTGAGTTCAATGGTTTTTCCTTGGATAACCATGTTGTTACGGAAATTTCCCCCCTAGATTTGCTCTTTCTCTGTTGTTTGTTTTAATTTTTCTAAAAATATTTGGTGTGCGTGAGAGATTTTCGTGATCTGAATTTAGGTATGCCATAAGGCTGCGTTTCTGATGTTTAACCGGTTGTTTTTTGTTTGTTGTTTATTTCCCTTCTAATTTTAACAAACCTGCAAAACTATTTTTTGGGATGGAAAGTGAACGCAGAGGAATGCACCTTTTTCCCTCTCCTTCTTGTTTTTGTTCCTATTTTCCGAAGATTTTCATTTGGGAGGGAAAAGGGTTTCGTTATTTGTTGTTGTCATAATTGGATTTGAACGGGTGCAAGGTTTCTCGCACGAGCAGCTTGCATTTGGGGATTTTCTGGGGCATGTTCTTATCCCTTCGTGATTCAGCTTTGGCTTTTTATGATCACATTCGGGGATTAAGCTATACGTTGCTTGGAAATTTTCACCAGTAGAGAGCAGCATTGGGATTTTTATAAGATTGTATGATTTAATGAAGCCGCATTACATGTTTATTTCATGATTATTTATTCTTGATGGTGGGTTTTGACTGTTTTGCTATATGTTTGTTCCTTAATTATGCAGGAATCAAGTCAAGTTTCAAGCATGTCAAGGATTCGCTGCATTCTGCGCGGTTTTGATGTTAAAACCTATATGTTCATGTTTGCTGTTGTCCCAATGTGCATCTTTGGATTCTATATACATGGCCAAAAGATCTCTTACTTTCTGAGGCCGCTGTGGGAAAAAGCACCTAAGCCTTTCAATGTCATTCCTCATTACTATAACGAAAATGTCACCATGGAGAATCTCTGCAGACTTCATGGTTGGGGAGTCCGGGAGTACCCTAGACGTGTTTATGATGCTGTGTTGTTTAGTAATGAGTTGGAAATACTAACTTTGCGTTGGAGAGAACTTTACCCTTACATAACTGACTTTGTTCTCCTTGAGTCAAATTCTACGTTTACCGGATTGCCTAAGCCTCTGGTTTTCCATAGCAACAGGGAACAGTTCAAATTTATCGAGTCACGTTTAACTTATGGGACCATTGGTGGGAGATTTAAGAAAGGAGAAAACCCATTTGTTGAGGAGGCATATCAGCGTGTAGCATTGGACCAGCTCCTCAGGATAGCTGGTATTACTGATGATGACTTGTTGATTATGTCTGATGTGGATGAGATACCAAGCGCTCACACTATTAATCTCCTGAGATGGTGTGATGAAGTACCTTCAATCCTTCATCTGCAGCTGAAAAACTATCTCTATTCATTTGAATTTCGCGTGGATGATAAGAGCTGGAGGGCTTCGATTCACAGGTATCAGACTGGTAAGACAAGGTATGCACATTATCGCCAATCTGATGACATGTTGGCTGATGCTGGCTGGCATTGTAGCTTTTGCTTCCGTCGAATCAGTGATTTCATTTTTAAGATGAAAGCCTACAGCCATTATGATAGAGTCAGGTTCTCTCATTACTTAAATCCTGACAGAATTCAGAAGGTAATCTGCAAAGGTGCTGATTTGTTTGATATGCTGCCGGAGGAGTACACTTTCAAGGATATCATTGGTAAAATGGGACCAATACCCCATTCCTATTCTGCAGTTCATCTTCCTGCTTTCCTTCTGGAAAATGCTGACAAGTATAAATTTCTTTTGCCTGGAAATTGCAAGAGAGAGAGATGATTTTGGAAAGTCATTTTCTGATACTGGCTTGTTCTGAGCTTGTAGCTTGTGCAGCTCAAGTGACTCTCCTCTCGGAGGTTTTAACTGTGATTGTGATGATTGTGTGTCAGTGTCACTCATACAGCTGTATCTTTGTCCAGTAGATATTCTTTGTGAATTCATTAATTTCAGATAAATTCTTTGATCTAGAGGGAATTCTGTATATAATTTAGAGCTGGACTTCATCCAAGGGGAGCAGCATCTCTACTTATGAGAGACTGAAAGTTCTGTTTGAGAACAGGCTTGTCTTCACGAACCGTGTTTATTTGGTATTAGTGTGATTGATCCCCCAATACACGAGAACAGTCTAAAATGGCACACTTTTTCCAGTTTGGGAAGTTTTGTTTTGCAGACCAATTATTTTTGTATTATTCTTTGTTTATGCTAAATATCTAATCCGATTGGTTGGTCTATATTTATGAGAATGCTGACTCAGTTCTTTGCATTATATAAATGTAGTTTGGTTGCTGTACTCCATTAATTTCTTTCGCTTCACTATAACAGCATTTTCCCATTTGGAATATCTGAATCTACTAAATTTGTTTTGCTCAAACAAAAGTTATTTGACTGGTTCGCTATTCTGTATTTTGTTAGACCAGTTGTGGTTTAACATAGGTGCATCTCATCCTTCTAAAGTCTTCTATTAGAGAAATTTTAATTATTTCACAAGGCATATGTATTTATCATCATTGAAGCACTCTTGTTGAAATTGAAAATCAAAACTGGATTTTGCTCAGCATTTTCTATGGGCCCTTTCACTTGATCTAGGGGTAGCATAAGGTTAGAATTTTCTTCATACCAGGATTGGTAAGAGGGAAAAGAGATGGTGTGTTTTTTGTTAAGTTCTGGTATGAAAATCATCTGCGATATGATTTTTCTACATTTAATCTATAATTTAAGAGGTAGCTGCTTTGTTCCCTTTAACATATTCGTTCTTCTCTTTTCTTTTTCCACTATACAAATTCATTTTGTATCATTTCGAGTGTGTTACTTCAAGAGAAGTGAACGTGGGAGAGTTTTATTTCTTTTTCATAATATAAATTATTTATCGTAAATTAAAAATGTAATATATATCTTTAAAAATATGTATTATATATTGTAATTATGATATAACTTATTTATTTATTACAAATTGAATCATGAAAAATTTATTCTATTATATGATTTAATTGTTTCTGTATGATATCTATTTATACTTATACTACAAAAAACACTAACTTTTAGGAGGTAATTAGGAAATGGACAAATTCTTGTTTCCACTTCATAATTTGAAGGTCATGCCACGTTGCTATTCATTTATTAAATATCATAGTGTTTTCAGATTATACACAATACTATGACAAAATATTTATTTTTGAATTATAAAATTAATAATCAATATATTTTAAATACAAGCATTATATTTCATAATGACTAATTTAAATCAAAACCATGACATGAAATGAAGAAAATAATTTAAATTAATTTATTAAAAAAATTTAAAAAATAACAAGTTTAAATACAAAATTTAAATTTTAAACCTCTTAAATTTACTCTGAGATTTATAATGACTTAATCTGGCGAGCGAACAAACACACAAGTTCAATTTATTTAGACAAAATTACATAGCAACACAATATATACGAAATTTCACATTAAAAATTGGATCTTTTATTATTTTGGAAGGTGGTTGAAACGAAAGAAAACAAGTAGGTCAAAATTAAGATAAAAAACATTATCAATAAAATGCACTTAGTTCATGTGGGACACAGGAACAACGTTATATATCTACCATATTATTCACGCCTTGTAATTTGTCTTAATTGCTTTTGAAGTAGAGAGAAGGAATATTAATATTGGTATGTCATTTGATTATCCTCCACGAATCGGGAATAAAAAATTTAACCTTTTTCTTTCATCTCCTTCAAAAGAAAATTTCACTTGTCATCAATTTCTTATGTTACGCAATACTGATGACTAAAATAAAATAAAATGACACAAATAAATGTATTTAATTATTTGAATTCTAAAAAATAAATAAAGAAAGTTCGGAAACAAATTAATGAGTATAAGAAAAATTATTACTTTGTAGTTTTATTTATTTTTATAAGTAGGTTGGTTGAAGTAACTTATAAAAATAAGTTAGATATATTACAAAAAAATATGCTTGTATATCAAAAAATAATAGTGATATGATAAATTTAAATTTTGGAATTTAATTTAATAAATTGAATGTAAAAATAATAAGTTGCACTACTTCTAATCATATGTATATGCATGTGTATGGGGATGTTGGACCATATGGGTTATGATTCTTTCATATCACTTTTTTTCAACAATATTATATATATATATATATATATATATATATATATATATATATATATATATATATTCCAGAAAATAAGATAAGGTAAAATATTTAAATGTCACCTCTTTCTTCTTTTTTTTCTTTCATTCTCTTTTCAACCAAAATGTAAGGAATATTATTATTAGAAAGAATCACCACTAGAATGGTTAATTCATGTTTCGTACGAATTTTTTTTTTTATATAAATTGACATGAGATAAATTTCTCGTGAATTTTTCTATTGATTTTGTAAAACGTGTAAAATGTTAAAATCTCGCAAAATATAAAAAATTATACTAATGTATGATATTTATTGTTGGGGTAGATCCCAATCACTTCACCATAAAATAGTCTGCATGGCGTTAGCAAAAAACACACTTTACAGACATCAGATTCTGAAGAATTTGCCATGCCACTGAAATAAAATTCCAGATTGAACAACGAAGTTAGATTTCTTGGGAAACAAATTCGTGAAAAGAATCGAATTTCATCCTAGTTGTGATATCTTCGAACAAATTAAAGTTGGTGGCGATGGAATATTCTTCGAGCAATCAAAAGAGTCGAATTGGATGCTCCATGCAAAATATAAAACTCTTATGCATGCAGCCATAAAAAGGGTGAGATAAGAAGAACTAGATTCTGTCTAATCATCACCACAGAATAATGAAACTATAAATATAGTAGCTGAACTTAAGAAGAACCTGCACCACAGCTCAACCATTTCTACACATTTCTCTCAGAGAAAAAAAAAATGGCATACCAAAACTACAGCTGGAACAATTATGGGTGGCGATGCCCCTCTGAAGAGTACCCAGTGTACGACCCTCCAGTAGAGGCTATATACCCTAGGCATCACAAGGGTCATGTGACATTCGCAACCATCTATGAAGAAGACCCTGTAGCTGAAGTAGAAGCCAAGAACTTTGAGCAACGTTATCAAAGTACAGGGTTTAACAGTAATCACAGGGCTTATAAAAGCGTGGATCAAGAAGCTGATGCTTTTATTCAGCATGAGCACAAGAGGATGGAAATGGCTAGGCTCATGTCTCAAAGGGGTGCTTGAATCTCTGTTGTATATATATACATATGCATGATATTATGAAATAGCATATTTATATATATAATAATATGTGTTGGGGCTTCATGTGAATTGTTATATCGTTAATTTGGTGTACCCTTAAGATGGTTAAAAGATTTTGGGGTGAGACTTTTATATAAAGTTTTACCAAATTCATCCCTCAATCTTTTACCTAACTTGGTATCAAATTGACTAACCCACATCTCATACCATAAATCATGAATAAATATTCTACAACTGAAGGACTTCAGGGACATTTTTTTCCTTCTTCTTCTATCTTTAGTTCCTAAATAAATGCACCAGTGCCTTTAAACTTTTCTTGGAGTATTTTTTTACCGCAAAACAAAAGTGATTAAAAGGTTGCAGATTACAAGATATACTCGAGTTTGTTTGATCACTCTAAAAAAGCATTGAGCACAGAAATCAAACACTAATGAAGAAGCATATGTGTAGATAAGCAGAGTAATTACATGAAATCTGAACAAAAAAGAAGTATTGGCTACTCTTTTGATATTTGATAATCCCTGTACAACCTTCAAAAGAATGCTAAAGGTAAGAAAAGCAACACCTGGAAACTTTCTTCACGCAATCGCTCTTCTTAACTGTGCAGTGGGTAACAGTTACAAAGCACAATCTGGTTTAGGTGTAATCAAATTATATATGGTTTTATGTTGTATATTATATGCTTGTTGTTAGATTTCATCAATTTTAATAATGAGAAGTTTACATTCAAATATAATTATGTTAAATGATTATAGTTTAATGTCATTTGTTGATTATGTTTAAATGATTTTCAAATTTAGTTCTACCAATGATTTAATTGCATCATATATTAATTTTGGTGCAGTACTATAATTATACTGTTAAGATTTGGCACAATTCATTGAATAACCTTGACCCAAAAACCTTTCTTACAAATTAAACAATAAAATATCAAAATAATGAATCGAAAACAAACACAAGTATAAGAATATGGTGGCAATCCCTAATTATGGACGAGCAAATTAGAAAAATCAATCCCCTTGGACTTGTAATATCCCTTTTCTGCGTTTGTCAATCTACCCTGGAACATCCTCCACTCCATGCCACACCTCTCCTTCACCTGCCCCCAATACCACATATTTCAGAATCAAACACCATTCAAAACAAAAAACAACATTATAAAACTGCTTCTTCATCAACTTAGGTAACAGTTCTGATGTAAGAAAAAGAAGCATGGTCAAAATAGACCACCACAGATACATGCTAGTAACATATTCTTTCAACAGAAATTTATTGAAAACATTAAATTTTTGTGAATGTCATCCTTCATTAATTAATGGGTTTCTTATATAATTTGTAGATTTTGATAAATTTTAACTAATAATAGAGTATGTTGTTAGTCAGTGAAAGGCGCATAACATACTGCTCGCCATGCAGGTTTCCCAGTAGTTTGTGCTTCTCCCTACCAAACACAGAGGAAAGCAAATAAGTGTTATATACACAGCTACATTTGAGTGAAGTAATTAACATGAAATATAATAGGAATAATCATGGAAAAATAATTACCTGGTTTCCTAGTGAGGGAATACCTTGGTGAACAATCCACTGAGCATCAACAACTCCAATTTTTTCATGGGCAGGCTACACCATAGGAAGTATCAGTTTGCCATTCCATGTAGCATATCAGTTTCATGGGAAGGGAAGTAATCAGGTAATAGACTCACCTCAACACATTTTCTAAAAGAAAAATCAAGACCCCATCCATGCACAAATTCATTCTGCAATGAGAATGACAAGTGTGTTACAATCATAACTTGTTAGCATATGGACAATTGGCTACAGAAATTTAGAAACAACAAATCAATGTTAATGTTCATATTTTTCTTGGTATGAAGTGTTCTTGACATGCAAGTATTGTTCTCAATAACTAATACATAGATGTATGTCTGAAAAATGAAATAGAGAGTAACCATTGAACCTGAATCATATACCACACACAGCGCCATGCATTTCGTGAAAACACTGGAGCCATAATCTCAACAAACCTGCATGTTGAATCTATTAATACAGCGTGGTGGAAGCAGATAAAAAATGGAACAAAATTTTGTACACCCCCAAAAAGAACAATAATTATTTGACAGTTACTTACGCTGCACAAGGAGGTAGAAGAGGGTACTTACACCTTCCTGCTTCCACTGCTTCTCTAGTAGAGATCAAAGAAATAAACAGTCATATCACTCACATTATATAACAGAAAGCACAAGAAAACTGTTAAGAGGTTTACATCACTCTTACTTGTGAACTTCGCTATTTTCTTTTTTCCTTGTCATATTCCAACACACCCCTTTCGTACTTTTACTAGGTTCCAAGGCAGGCTGTGATATCTCCAAGCCATACTTCCTCACCAATTTTAGGTATCTGCAATTGGAATTAGTGGGGCACTCAAACTTCCTTAACAATGCCAAAATTCAAAGAAAAAACACAATTACACACCATGTCTATCACTTACTCTTCTGCATTGAAATTCTCAACCCCTAGGTCTTCATCCCACATGAAAATATAGTCATATGGTGCCACAATATCTGGATGTAGAAACCTCTTGGCATACCACCTAAGAAGAGAAAGAAATAACAAACCACTTTTATGTTTGATTAACAATATTGGCTAAAAATGTCCATATGAAAATTCAAGCAGAGAATCATTTTACCATTTGGTTTGTTTGGGAACACTAACATGAATTGCCTGTTTTGACCACTCAAACTCATCCCATTCCGTTGTTCGCCCATCATAATGAAATAGAAGGATTGTGAAATCCTTTGAAAACTGTTTAAGGGACATATCTAGTTTAAACACGAGTTCACAAGCCTATGCAGAGGGAGAAAGAAAGAGAAAGGAAGAAAACCTTTTTCACAGCTGCATCGATATTCTTTTTCTGCTTATACCCAACAGTGAAGGTCACAAGGTACTTTGGTACAAAGGGTAAATCCTGCAAATAGAAATTTATCAAACTCTCTGTATAAACCCAAGTATTAAAGGCACCCCTGGTCCAAGATACCTTATTCACTATTCAATATTCCTCCTAGATTATTTCAATCTTGTATTTAGGGAGTTATTTTGTTACTTCCGTAGAAAGCAATAAACAAACTTGTCAAGCAATCCTAAAGTAAGATGTTCCGAGTCTGGATTTAGTAGAATAATAAACTAAATATGGTGATTCAAGTATGAGTTTTCTCATTTAATGGATAATTAAGACTTTCTTTACCCTTTTTATTAACTATGGCATAATGTTTAACAACACCTTAAACTGGATTAAGCTGCATGTTATCTAAGAAAAATCTCAGATACAGATAGGTGTCTCTTATATTGTTTTTAGATCAGGACTAAATTTTCACTTTGATAATCTATATAATGAAGTATTTCATCAAATGTTAATGTGTTTTACCAAAGTTAAACTCTAATGGGATAACCTACGAAATATATAACTCTATCTAAATTTTATCTTTTCTTTACTATTATATATTTGAAGGGTGTAGTTACATTGAGCACATAAACTGTGGTAGCATACTTCACCTCACTAGGAATCCCCGATAATCTTCGCAAAAATAAGTCTGACTCTGCTTTAACGATCCCAGGAGGTAATCTTTCTGCCCCTCTTGGATTTGTTGGAACCCAAATCTGCATACAAACATGAAAACAAGTAGAAATTGTCTGATCATCACCATTGAGAATTTAACAAGTCATATTTTCAAATACTAAGTAAGATACAGTTGAAGTCCTTCAGTATTTTATAATTGATTAGTAAAAAAGAAGAGGATTGAGAGTAAAAGAAGAGCCTAAGAGGTTTTATGAATCTCACGTTGCTACATTTAATTTTTTTCGTTGATTATCCTCTACTCCTTGAGGAGATCTTAACTGCTACAAAGCATGATGATGTTGAATTAATAAGGTGCTAAATCATTCTTGACTTAATGGATTTCGTTCCAATTATATAGTTGAATAAAATATGTTTTCCCCCTAACTTTCTTGAATCACTGTACACCCTACAATTTCCAAGTCCTTCACATGGATTACAGGAGGAGAAGCATACCTTTCTTGGGTCACTTTGAAACTGATCTTGGGATGAGGTTCTGCTATCTGTATTCTTTTCCTGTACACAAGAGCGATGAAGCAGGCCATATGGTAGGTTCAACTGCAAATTGCTAACCACCATTAGAGTTACTTCATCAAACCATATGAACAAATGCCCTCTCCAGCATAGGGTACATCAGAAATAAGATATTCAATGTCTGCACCTTCGTTATGGACAATGGTGGGAGTGATAATCCTAAAATTAAGCCGAAAAATCCTCCAACAAAAAGTATCACAATATGTCTCATACTTTCATTCGGTCTCCTAACAGCCAAACTGCAGGCAACAAAATGCGAATGTCAATTCAAGGTAGTAGCTAACTTCAATTATAGCATAAGCAAAAATTCTTAAGAACAAGCACAATAACAAAGTTATGTATCTCCAAAGACTAGACCTGCGAGTAGCGGTCACCATTTTCTGATTGATTCTTCATATATGAAACTAGGATGCCTATTACAAAGCCTGTTGAAAGTGAAAAGAAGACAACCAAATGGTTCAACAAAATGGAACCAGATTACCATTCAGAAGAACAAAAGGAAAACGTAAGAGAGAAAAATATCATACTTTGGGATATACCACCACCCCAAATTGTTACCTAGTGGGATGAACAAATCAGATTAGTTATACTTCCACTATGAAGGTGTTCGTTCCACTTCCACAACCCAAGTGGAAAAGTCATCACAAAATTGTCTTCTAGTTTTTTCCAACATATAAAACAAAGTGATAATTGTAGAAGTATGAACACCTCTAGAAAGCACTGCCTATAAGTGTGATCCAAGAAATAGCAAAAGGAACCAAGTTAAAAAATAAAATAAGAAGCCATTGTTGAAACTGATGAACCATAACATAACTAAGTAACGCATGTGCTTTTCCCCCAATAACCTCCGCAAGCAACTTATGCAGTTTCATTGACCAATTAAGATGAACAGTCACGTGATATCCAAGCTTAGTGGCTCCGGAATTATAAAAGTAAGTGCGCTTTTTTTCTAATACAAGAAACATACAGAAACCTGGGTGGATCTTCTCCCTCCTCACAATTTTTCCAAGTCAATTTTTATTATTAAGCGAGACTCTTCCTAAATAAACACACCATTTGCAAAATCAATTTTTTATATAATAATAGATAAGTTGTGGATGAAATTTTTTTTTTTTCAATATCTTTTTAATGAATCATAAATGGATTAATAATTTTTTTTATCAATACAGTGAGAGTCAATATACATGTTATATCTCCATTTCTAAGAAATCAGTTTGTAACTAACTATTAAGTTCAACTTTTTTTGGATATAAACTTAAAAAAATTACTGATATTATTATTTAAGTACACAGATATGTGACAACTTCAAATAAGAGTTACTGCATTTTCAATATTCTGGGCTTATGTTTCCAAAGTAAACCAAACAAAAACATGTGTAGTCGCCGGGAAACCACATTTGTAGGGTTCGTTGTTTCTGATTTTCATGTCTAGCTTGTGACCTGTGCAGTTTTTTTTTAATATCTACGGCTTTTGCAAATTCTGGTTTGCAAAAGCAAAAACATGGATAAATTTTGGTTAGTCCTCTAAAAGGTAATTTATTTTCACTAGCTTTCTGAAAATATTAAAATTTTAAAAACTATCTGAAAGTGTAATTTATGTGTCATTTTATAAGTTGGCTCTTGAAAAAAATCGTATTTTAATACACTGATTCTCACTTTCTAGATATTAATTAAGTCTCACTAAAATAGTAAATAAATAGTTAAATTAAGGAATGAATTGATAATAATTAGTTAAATTCAATAACTAAAATAACCATAAATAATATGGTTTATAAACCATAATGGCAAGTGATTAAATTCAAATACTAAAATCATAACAAATGATCAAATTCCAATATTAAGATAATAAATGATAAAGCTCAGGAATCAAAATAACACCAATAAAGTGTTTTCAAATGGGATTTTAAAAGACTTTTTTATATAATAAAAGTTACGTAAAATTTAAAAGATTATGTAAGAATGGGATTTTTTTTAAATATTTTATTTGAAATATTTTTATAATTAAAATATTTTAATTTATTTAAATGATTTCTAAAATATGGATGTACAAGAATTTAAAGGATTTCCTTATAAATATTTTTTATTTTTACATTTTTATTACAAAATACAACTTTATCTACTATCTTATTATGTAAATTATGTATATCAATGAATTTTAATTACAATATGTGTTAATATTAAGATAAACGACCCAAGATACAAAAAATATTTGATATTAGGTTACTATTGAAATAATAAGCAATTTTTTATTTGTTTTTATTTTGAATCCTCTGTTTCAGTTAGAAACTAATTATTTATATTACCAAATCAACCTAACATGCATAAATAGGAAAATATAAATTTAGTTAAATAATTAGTAGAAAATAATAAAAATAAAGACGAGAAATATATACTCATAAAACAAGAAAAAAGAAATTAATATTTTCCCTTACCATTCTTAAAAAGTCTAAGCACATTCTTAAAAAGAAATTAATATCTTTATTAAAACAAAAACATATATTAGATGTTATTTCTTAATTTGTTTTATGGAATCATATACTAACTTTCACACTAATCTTTCAAATCTCTTCTTTCTTCTTTTCAATGAAAATTTTACTCTCATTCTTGTCTCCACTTGTTAGATGACAAGAACTATCACGTCTAGGTCCGTGCCATGAAACTTGCGTTCAAATTCAAGAATAAGTTAAAATTCGTCTTTTTGCTTTGCTGATTCAAACTAGCCCTGTTGTTTGGACACTCGTCGCTCGATTACCTAATTTTGTGTTTTCCTTGGTTCTTCTCTGATTTCTTGGAAATCCAAGAAGCAATATACTGTCTCTCGTTCATCCTCTGAAGCAGAATATCGATCATTAGTCAGTCTCACTTGTGAGATTTAATAATTACATTATCTTTTTCGTAATTTTTATATTTCATTGGATCCTACTGCACTCTATTGTGACAATCTGTCATTTACTTAACTCATAATCCTGTATTTCATGAGCACACTAAACACATCAAGATTGATTGTCATGTGGTTCGTGAGAAAAATTAACAAGGCCTAATTTATCTTTTTCCTGTTTTGTCTTCCAACCAACTTGCGAATATTTTTACTAAACCCTCTTCACGTACAACTTTTGACAATTTTATATTTAAGTTTGGTCTTTGTGACATCCACCGTACAACTTGAGAAAGAGTATTAGCATAATTATTTTTCTATTATAAATCATGCTTTTTTCCTTTTGTATTATTTTTAGTTATGACATATTCTTTTCTTTCTATTTTACGAGATTATATATATACCCTACTTATATTCCTTTATAAATAGTAATAAATAAGAAATTGAAACTACTTATTTTTAGTTATGATAGATGCATTCTATCGTAGGTATATAAATAGTAATAACATAAGAAATTGAAGCTATTTTATGTCATTTAAAATGCTACTTGTAGCATTTCTATTATAATGTATATATCATATATGATATCTATATTATAATATTAAAATCACAATATATTTCTATTTTATAAAATTTAAGATTTAGGGTTATATTAATTCTTTCTTTGTTTATATTGATTGAATAATCATATATAATTATAATAAGTAGAAAACAATTACTTTGATGTAGAAAAAACATTTGATATTGGGCAGAAATTTTGTTTATCGTGACCATTGAGATTGAGAAAATTTGATGAAAAATAGATAAGTTTCACATATTTAAATGGGATTGTTTTATAAAGAAGATATTTACACCTGTAGATAAAATGTAACACAAAATCCATAAATTTCTAATCAATAAAATAATCCATTGAAATTCAAATTGAATATTAGATTTTTTTTTTTAAGATTTCTATAAATATCATAACATTTTTTAAAATGTTTTTAAAATCTGGATTGAATATCACATTTTTTTTAAAATTCATTTAAAATATCTAGTTGAATACACCCATCCACTAAATGTATAAAATAGGTGTTGTCTAATAATTGCAATAAAAACATTACAATTTTTTTTATATGTATTATCTGAAATTTAGGTCACAAGAAATTACAAGAACTAACACTACCGTTTACCAACAAAACAACGTGAACGCCGTTTTGGTGGAACCGAAAACAATTGGTTTGGTAAAACATGTGTTTCTCTGTTGCGACAATAAATAATTTCAGTTTGACATCCCTTTGCAAATCGTGAACCACAGTGCAAGTTAAAACATTTCAAGGAAAGCAACCTAAAAATTGTGTGGAGTAATGAAGCAAAGGAAAGTACGATTCAAGGAACCTCATTGACCTGCCGCCCATCATAATGTTACAAGTTCCTTGAATTCACTAATTATTATTCAAAAAAGGTGGAACCAAAAACCAAAGATTGAAAAAAGTCTCAAACCAGAAAACCACACCCCCCAAAAGAATGAACAATCAGTGGCCACAAACATTACAGGAAAAAGGTAGAAAAGCGTTTTCTGTTCAAATTCCACCCGAAATTGTTGAAAAGCACTTGGGGACCTTTTATTAGACAACTTTGTTTGATTATAAACCTAAAGGAATCAAATAAAAATATCAATTTTAAATAGTTATTGCCGAAGAAAATTAAAGAGGTTTCTGTTGACTCTTAAGTTTCCTCACAATTTTTCTAAACAGTTACGTAACTAGTAATTACAAATTAACATGTATGATAAATTTTGTAACTTTTATAATTACTTTAAAAGCTATATTTTGCATAATTTCTTATTAGTTAATGTGATGTAAAAAAATTATATTGACAATACCTAACTTGTTTTTCGCTTTTTTTTATATTAAAACTATAACATGAAAACGACAAAATAATATATTCTTATACAAAAGTATACAATAAAAGTTTAATTATGTAACTGATTTAATAATATTTTATTTGTATCCATTAAAACATAATAACCTATTCTCTAACATATTCTTTAGCTTTTTATACTGCATCTCGTTTCACTTCATAACTTTCCTTCCTATTTAACTTATAATTTGACAAATAAAGTTTCAACTTGATTCGTTTAGAGGTTGACCCGTTTCAGCTACGTAAAGGGTTTCCTCACAACATCCAAATTGTGTATACCTTTACAAGGTATTAAATTCATATTCCATGCAAGCAAACGTTTCTAAACACAAAGAATATTATAATCAAATACACTACTTACACAGTGAGTTCCATTTACCTATATTATCTAATTTTCTAACTATCAACACTGAAATCCCACATTAAGTTGTTTAGGACTCTGAATTATAAGTGCAAGTAACTCGTGCCACGAACTTAAAAAACAAAAAAAAAAAACTATATATCATGCATAATCGAACTAAATAATGGTAATGACTGTGTACAGGTCAGCTTCTGTCGTTGTCCCCACTAAGGAGTAGTAGAATTGAACATATCTACGCCCACGGCCTTGTAATATGCATCTTCTGCATTTGCCAACCGACTCTGGAACATTGTCCACTCCTTTCTACACCTCTCCCTCACCTGCCAACAACACCATGGACATGGTTCATCAACATTCATATTATTTAGTAATCAAAGTATTTGCATAAAATACCAAGTAATGTTCAACAAGTACGCAAGCAATATATAGATGGGAGAGACGTATATGACTGTATGAAACAGGACAATATAACATACCCCTTGCCATGGTGCCTTCCCAGATTCTGATTCTCCCTATAAGAAAAGCAGAAACACATACATATATTACATCGGCAATATAAGTAAAACAATTGAGACTAAGAGTAATAATCATGGAAAACAAATTACCTGATTCCCTAATGAGGGAACACTTTGATGAATAATCCATTGAGAATCAACCACTCCAATCTTCTCATGTGCAGGCTACATGATAGTGATATATTTGTTTTAATGTTTAGGGTTTTATAGCATAGCAGTTGCAAGTAAAAAAAATCCATAGTTTGATGAATTGAAGTGATAAGACAACAGACTCACCTCAACACATTTTCTAAGAGCAAAATCCAGGCCCCACCCGTGGACCAAATCATTCTGGAATGCGCAGAATGGTAAAATTAAACGAGTGCTTAAACAGACATTAAACAAGTAACCAATAGATATTTATAAAAAAAGAATAAGAGTAGACATTTGACCTGAATCATATGCCACACACAACGCCATGCATCACGCGAAAAAACTGGAGCCATAATCTCAACGAACCTGCATGTATAACAACAACATTGGATACCGTTTGATATGGATAAATAATACAACAAGCATACTTGCAATTGATGCTTACGCTGCACAAGGAGGCAGATGGGGGTCACTGCACCATCCTGGTTTCTCTTCTGTTTCTCTAATTGAAATCACAACAATAAACAGTAACTAATTACACATTCTTTTACATATCAAGTACCAGAAGAAAACTGGCACTGGAGTCTCCTCTTACTTGTGAACTTCACGATCACCTCTTCTCTTTGTCATTTGCCATGTCAACCCTTTATTAGGTTCCAAACCAGGCTGCGAAATCTCCAATCCATGCTTCTTCACAAGTTTTAAGTATCTACGATTAAAATTTAGAGCATATCAAACTTCACGAGTAAAATAAAAATAAAAACCGTAGGTATATTGATGTACATGTATTAGATTTTGATCCATTATCAATTAATGAAATTTCTAACACTGTCGTCTAATTACATATAACCACATTTGAAAGGTAAGATCAGGACTAACTAACTAATATTTTTAGAAAAATTAACAAATAATAGTAAAACTTCTTTACACGTGTATAAAAATTTAAACTTAGTATTGTATCATATTAAATACTCACTCCTCTGCATTAAAATGTTCAACACCCAGGTCTTCATCCCATACAAAAATATAGTCATATGGTGCCACAATGTCTGGATGCAGAAACCGTTTGGCATACCACCTAGAAGGGAAAACAATTAAATGCTTAATATCATGATGTAATTGAATATTTGGATTAGCAGAACAATTTTGGTTTTAGTTAGGCAAACAATGGTAAAAGTAACACTGAAGATTTGGCATCCTATACTTATGATTGAGTGCAATGGATTCTTACCATTTGGTCTGTTTGCGAACACTCACATGAATTGCCCGTTTTGACCACTCAAACTCATCCCACTCAGTTGTTTGGCCATCATAATGAAAAAGAACTATTGTAAAGTTCTCTGAAAACTGTTCCAAATAACGAAACTACTTTAAAGAACCATACACAAGCTTATGCTTCAGAAAGAGAAGAAATACAAAAAGATTGGTTACCTTTTTCACATTTGCATCAATATTATATCTCTGATTATAACCGACAGTGAAAGTCACAAGGTACTTCGGCTTTGAGGTTAAATCCTGCACGCAGCAACTAAATAAAATGCTCTGTATAAAGATGATATACCACAATAAAAAACATAAGGGCCTCTCCTGTCCAAAAATTTACCAACTGGCCAAAAATAACAGAAAAAAAGAAGAAGTTCAAACTAGAAGAAAAATGCACATGTGGCAAGCAACATAAGTTTTGTAGAAAGTATTCATTCCCAAATTACTCAATCTTGTAAGTATTTATTTTCCATAATTGATTATGGTTAAAATTGATTTTGAAGTGATGTGATTTATGTTTGGATGTTTTTGTTATAAAAACAAGTTTGTAGTAAAACTCAGTATAATTTTTTTTTAGCCAACAGAAAAACTATCCAATGTTGCTTCAACTCATAATTAATTCTAAACTACAATCATTTCCTCAATGTGAAACCAAACATATGAAATTTATCTAAAATTACATTAATTGGTATCTCAACGTGATTCTAGAGAATCCAATGTGAAATCAAACAGGCGTGAAGTCTTCTTTAACAAGTTCATCAACAACAGTAACGGGATCATAATTGGTATTTAGATGCATTGCTTTATGCATGCAAAAGAGCATGTTTTCTATGTTTTAACCCCCAGATGCTCCCAAAGAAAGAATGAAAAATAGAAAATTGTTTCAGATACACACCTCACTGGGCTGACCCCACAATCTACGCAAATAAAAGTCTGTCTCAGCTTCAATAATCTCAGGGGGTAATCTTTCTGCACCTCTTGGATTTGATGGAACCCATATCTGCAACACAGAGAATCATGAAATTTGCAGCAATTATATTCGGACTATAATAAACCAGTTTCCTAATATTATATAATACAAAATCATACCCAAGAGCCGTTAACAAATGAATCAGGTGGCCTTTTTGCTCCTCTTGTTGCTATGTGTTTTATCTTATTTTATTTTTCCAAATTTGTAACATCACTACAGCAGTAATTTCCTACTCTCTTCCTTACATTTGAATCAATGTTTTATCAATTAATAAAAGCACACTGTTTTTCTGCTCGTAAGGAATTTTGCTTTCTACATTTCAACTTCTCTAGATTGTCGACGGTGAAATAGTTTGTGGATGTGAAAGAGAGAGGAAGACACAGAGAGAGTGAGAGAGCTTTTGCAAGCGTATGTTAGCTTGAGTTAAACAATTTACGATTTAACAAATTTACTCAATAATGCATAATGGTAATTAAGCTTAGGTTTAGCAGCCTGTTGCATGACTGCCTACATGAAGGAAAGCCAGCCAATTTTAATCTTGTTTGTTACTACAGCTGTATTTCCTATGAAATTAATAAATAAATAAAAGGGAAGCAGAAGACTAAAAACAGAAATGAATACTTTTAGCACCTCATTTACTGAGAAACTCAAGTTTCCATCTACTTAATCTGGAGAGCCTATCCACTACAACCCATTAAAGCATGGTTCTCAGAACCTCAAGGATTTAATATTGTAAAACGAACATTAATTGATAAAAAATACTTCATTCTTCTCGCCCTCATCATACTTTCTATACCATCCTCCATCCAACAAATAATGTACGCGAGTCTTTGAAGAGATTATAAAGCCTGTTCCGACTATACTATTCAATTAAATCTTCTTCCTTCTCAATGAAAGAAGTTATACTAATATTAACTTTCTTGAATCCAGCAACTTTAATGTCTGACGTGAGATGTGTACCTTCAACGTATCATTTATTAACTGATGTTGTGATGAGATACTCTTATTATTCTTCACAGAAGACGGTGCACTGCCACCTGCATATTTCTCTTGAATGTAAGAAATATCAATGGCAGGAAGCAGGTTGGATGGGAGGTTCAACTGCAAATTTTTAAAGAGAAATAAGAGTTCAATTATTATATCCAACAACTTTTACATTTAATCATCAAATGCTGAAGCACAAGGTATGCCTAACAAGAAGGTACTAAAGGATTTGCACCTTAGTAGTCAATGCCGGAAATGATACTCCAATAAAGAAGCCAAAAACTATTCCAATGAAAGTTGTGACAATAAGTCTCATACTATCACTTGGTTTCCTATGTGTAGAACTGTAGCCAACAAGATACAAATGTCAATTGAACTGAGTGTCTGATGTAAACTAGCACATTCAAAATTTATTAAAATGATAAACAGTATAAACAAAATTGGCCATCCGTGAAGATTAGACCTGCGTGTACTGATCCCCATTATATCCAAGCTTTTCTGATTGTATGTTCATATAACTATACACAAGAGCTTTTCTTCACTAGTTAGCAAGGCACGTATCCTCAGTCCCTAGAAAATATAGCTGTTATCCGAAAACAGGCCCTGTAGAAAGTACAAAGAACCAACTAAACATGTTGCTAAATCGAACCATAAAATGGTTCAAAAAAAGGAGAACATACACCATGGTATCAGATAAAAAGATTAACTTCAGATACAATATTCTCCGAAATAATATCCTTTTAGAATATTAGAAATTATAAGTATTATTGATAGCTTTACTGGGCTGGGCTGTCACTAGTTGTACCACACAAAGTATTTGTTAATTTTGGTAACATATCTGTATGATGATTCTGTATTCTTCGTTATCAGAAGAGAGAACAAAATATTTTATTTCAGGGCCTTGGTTGTACATGTCCATTCATCATATTTTTGTTGTTTCTCCAGCAGCTATTCAATGTTTTCAATGTCTCATTTACTATGCTGTCTTTCTAGCTTCTATTCAGCCTATTCATGGTGGGGCGAAACATTAAACTTTCAGGTTCGTCTAACAGCATGCTTACTAGTTACAAGCTAAGACCTTAGCAAGCTTCAACTTGATGGGAAGAGTTCGAATGTCAAAACTGTTAGTGTTATAGTAGTCATATCGTATTAATCTCATTGACTTCAATATGTTTTAGTCGTACTTCATTACTACTCGTCCTACATTAATGGTGCAAGGATTTTATTCCTCTAAAGTAAAGAATTTAGTTAAGAACCAAAACCAAAAGTGAGGAGTTATGATCCTTAATGAGAAAATAGATTCAAACAACTTCCTATTTTGCTATAAATCACGTGGATACATATGGTCACAATCTAAACACTCAGTCATATGTCACAATCTAAACACCTAGTCATATCAATTGTCAGCTTAATTATTCTCTCTCATATAACCCCAGAATTTCAACCATTTGTCAACTTGAATCCTCCGATTATAAAGGCGTTTCACTCCCTCATACTAATTCTTAATAAAATAAAATAAACATAAGCAAGAAAACCACGTGCTGCTTTTCTCCTAATAACTACCGCAAGCAACGTATACGCAACCAATGAATATCCCCAAAATACTCCGCGATTAAGTAACCATGTGTCATTTACCCCAATTACGAGGAACACCAAACAAAAATTAAATAACAGCAAATGGCAGAATAATATATAGATAACACGATTTCTAAAACCAGTAAAAGACAGTGAAGAGAGGAGAAAGAGAAGCGCACCTGAAACTGGAAGCAAGATCTGGCAAAGAGAGTGGGTTTTAAGAAGAAAAACAACACTCAGGGTGGTTGCCAGGAAATGAAATCTGAGGTTTGTGGCAATGGTGGTGGTGATGGAGTTCTTCGAGGAGAGGAACAAAGGTGAAAAAGAAGGGCTCTAGCAGCCCGAGTAAACAAGAATTGTCCTTGGAATCTACCGTCTTAGGTTTGGGTTTGTAACACCACCCAACCCAACACCGATTTGTTTTGCTTTTGGCACTTCTGTCTTGGTGTGTTGCTTTTGGTGCAACTTCTTTCTGGGAAAATTAGTATAATTTTTTCAAATACAGAGACCAATATTTGAATTTATAACAACTGTTGTGGTAACATTCTGTGTAGGCCTCACAATCTGCTGCAAAATAAGATCTGAACGGATACTTGTCACTGCGGAAAAATTATTAATTCACTTTATTCAACTATTTTTCTTTTAATATGTCTTTTACCATTTTACGCTTTACTCCATTCTTGTAAATTCATATCCAGATTTCTATTTATTCTCCGAAATTGCTGAATCGTTTTTTTATTAATTAATAAATAAAAACAATAGTTTAAATTTACATATAAATTCTTATTTTAAAATATCTTAAGATTAAATTAACTGATAAATAATTTTTGTAGGATATTTCTTTGATGAGTCGTACTTTTTTTTTATAAAAATATTAATGTACAAAGTCAAATGTAAACTAAAGAAGAATGAGTATTGATTAAATAGTTAATTTTTTTCTTTGACTGGGTAATTAATTAAAAGTATTAATTTGATTCGATGGAAAAATTCATATAAAATAATTAATTTAAAAATTATTTTAGATACAGAAGGATCATATCAACTCAAGGACGTAAAAGAACAATCTCAACGATTTTATAAAATAAAGAATGAAGACATGACAAAAGAATATCAATTCTTTTAAAAATTAAAAAAACTCAAAATTATTAATAAATAAATAAAATAACATTTTGTATTTTTTACTCTCTTTTTTTTTCATTTCATTTTCTTTCTTTCTTAGGCACATGAATATATTTTGAATTTGGCGTTGTCGTTGTTTTTCTTGAAAGGATCCACGCATCCAACGAATTCGATCTGTCACCTCATCAGATAACTTTCCACCTTTAAAAAAATAATAAAAATAAAAATAAATTGTTTTTGTTACCGTAATATTTTAAAACACTTACTAATATTATTTTTCATTGATAAAAACCAGTTTGAATGCTTAACTTATTCTTTTAAACTCACATTTTATTTTTCTGCTCACAGGAACTCCACTTTAAGTTGAAAAAATTATATTTTTTAACGTAAAAAAACTTTAATTGTAATTAGTTATATCAATTATTCAAATAAAAATGCTATAAAAATGTATATATATAATATTTATGTATAGAAAAATCATTAATCATTATGATCCTAATTCATGTTTAGACAAATTTACGGTACAAAATTAATTATGTCTAATATTATAATAGATAATAAAAGAAATAGTAAATAGGAAATCAAATATAAAATTACAAGAATAAATAGAAAATTTGTATTATTCTGTGTTATGCCAATTTCTAATTATTTCTTATAATTTTCACACGAAAAGTAGTTAATTTAATTATCACTTCAATAATCTCTAACTGTAGCTCCAAATCACCTCTAATAATCCCAACGAAATTCAAATTTTCTACTCCAATAATTTCAAATCCATCTTGCATCTCCTGTACCACGGTAACTACTAGAAAATTTATTTATTTCTTGCCATTTTTATTTCAAAAACTTATTGACAAAAAATATTTATAATTTTTCAATAGAAAATTATTCACTAAAAATAATTGTCAATTTTCCTAAAAAATATATTTATAAGAAATAGTTAGAATTTTTTTGCAAATAATTATTTATAAAAAATTTCTACAAAATTTATTGCAAATATACAAAAAAAGTTTTGCAAATAAAAATTTGCAAAAAAATTAGTAAAAATTTAAATTTATTTATTGAATTTTTTTATGAATAAAAATTTATAGGAAATATTTGATAATATTTAAATAAATGACAGAAAAATTTTAAAAAATAATTTTAATGATTTTTTACAACTTATATTTTGCAGGAAATTAAAATAAATTATTTAAATTTATTATTTTTAAATAATTAAAACAATTTATTAAATAAAATATTTTTAACAAAATAAAAAACATACAATAAAACAATACAATAAAAGTTTAATAGTAAATTTTCTGATAATTTTGGGATATTTTTTTTCAACCCTAGTATGCATCCAAAATCCACATGAGAAAGAGATGCATCCAAAACCCACACGGGAAATACACACCAGAGTTGAGCTTCATTAAAAAAAAAAAAAAAGACACAAGTTTCTCTACAATAAACCAACACCATATGCAACAGCAAGCGAACCAACACCATATGCAATGGTGAGTGGCGAACAACAAGTGGCTAGTAGCGAGCTAACCAACACCATCTGAGCGGCGAGCGACGAACAACGAGTGGCGAGTAACGAGTGAACCAACACTATTTGCAGTGGCAAGCGGTAAATGGTGAGTGATGAACCAGAAAGCAGGGCTCAAAATATTTTAAAAATTTTATTGGGCACCTCAATATAATGATGTCTCAATTAATGCAGGAAGCTATAAATGATTAACAGAAAAAACTCAGTTGGATGGAAGAGGACGTGTAACGACCACTAAAGACACATTCTGAATCTACAAGTTTTAGATAATTTTAGATGGTGGATCTCTTCTTACAGTGGATAAATACCTCATCACTTGTATTGGAAGAGAATGATATTATTACTTTATTTTATTTTTTATAATTTACATTTTAGAATTAATAATATTAACTTTCTTTATTATAAGAAAGAGAAAAAAAAAAAAGAGAAGATCCATCATTCACTGAGTTTTATCTTTTTACACGTAAGAGAAAGAAGGATCAAAAGTTGGGATGGTCCTCATGTCAAAATCAAAATTGTTTCTTAAGTTTTCAATTTAATAAGCAAATTGGTAATGATAAATACACAGATAAATATGAGAGTAGTTATCTATTTTTAGGAATGATAAAATGAGTGAGTCCGCTATAATCATGACAGGTTACAAGTCTCAGTTTATCCCGTAAAAGGCTGAACTGATCTGTCATATTTCTTATTTTATTTTATTATTTTAAGCACAAATAGAAAAACATAATAAATGAATCATGAGAGAGAAAAATACTAAGAGAAAAAATAAAATATTAAATTTGATTTGTTTGGACGGTTTAATGTTTGAATTTAGTTAATTATTCACTCTTTTTTTCATTTGAATTTCATAATTAAAGATTTGATATGATTCCGATATTGACAAAAATTTGCATTTTAATTGTTTGGTTATTCAGATTACACTGAGAAAGATTATTGTACAGGAGAGATCTTCCAAGTCTATCAAGATTGGAGATATTATGACCGAGGAGGGATGTGTGTCACTTTACTTCTTGTGTTTAGTTCAAATTACTTGGAGAAGTGATTTATTAAGCTTGCATAAAGAGTTTTTGAGAAGAAATAAACAATTATTTGTCCAAAATTAAGCTTTCCTATGCATACTTTTATTGTATAGTGAACCTGAGACTGCACTATGTTATGTGTTTAGTGAATTAAACCATTCCCTTAGTTAATGACGCGCCCATTTATGATAGCTAAATTAAAATTTTAATATTATCGATGCATAACAAATTGATCCGTGCATAACAAATTTGTCTTGCATATGACAAGGATCATGTTGATATAAGACTAAATAATTTTCTAAAAAAAAAATCATGTTAATTTTGGTTTTAACTTAGTCTTTTAGTCAAATAAGCAAACAATTTTTTTTATAATCATTTAATTATGTAATAAAATATAATAAATATTTTGTTGTCAATTTCACACACATATATATATATATATATATATATATATATATATATATTATAAATTTATACAAAAATTTCTGCAAATTTTCTTAAAAAAATAATCTTATAAGAAATTACCTGTGAATTTAAAATTAACAAAAAATTTCTTTCGAATATCATTTTTTTTATAATCATTTAATTATTAGTAAATTATCAAGAAATTATTTATAAATTTAAAATTACTTGGTAAAAATTTGCGTACAAATTTAAATTGGTAAGAAATCACATATGAATTTAAATTATAAAAAATTACATACAAATTTAAATTGTAAGAAATTATATACATATTTAAATTTTAAAAAAATTACTTACGGATTTTTTCACCAATTATTTTGTAGGAAATTTTTGGAAATATTAAATTCCTGTATTATCATGAGCTAATTATGTTTGGAAATATATTCTCCATTCAATTATAGATTTTTTTTAATAAAAAGTGATTAATTCTTTTTTATATGTATTTTATCCATAAATATTTTGCAATTGATATATTCTACCAAAGTATTATTTTTAAAATTATTAGGATAATTTACTCTTAAAACTGTCTCAATTTCATATAAAATAGGCAGAAAAATCTGAACTTATTCGATCTAAATATCTTAATTAATCGAGGAATGAACTTATTAGTATTTTAATCCTTCTAATTACATATTATCAATTAAAAATATCATAATTTATATATATATATATATATATATATATATATATTTAATAATGTTTTAATACTGTAATTTCTATATCAATTGATATGAGATAAAATTTAAATCCATTTTGTAATAGTGAATTTTATGAATTCTATTTTAATTGATATATGTTTTTCATAAACCGAGATCATCTTGTTGAAAATCTCAGGATAACTATAAGACTTTTGTGATTTATGTTTTATGTATAAAATTCAAAATGGATTGAAGATTTTTATTCGACATAATATTTTTATCAAAACGCACTAAAAAATTGTATAAAAGAATTCACTTTCCATTCCATCCAATTTCATAAACTTCTATATTAAAAACAAAAATCCATTGGTAAACTTTAAAGATTGAGGAATTTACCCGATATATAATTGGTTTGCAATAAAATTGCCAAAACTTCCTTCGTGAATATCCCTTTTTATAAAGGATGTGAAAGAGCAAGCCCTTAAATATTAGAAAACCCTATTTATAGATTTTGCAAATTCAACTTTGATATTGGCATACCCCATTTTAGATAACCCATTAATTAGGTTTTCCTAAAATAAATAAATTAATTAACGTGTGGGAGTCTAATTTGGTGAAAATTGGTGAAAATTCCATTTGCAAGTTATATGCGCATCATAATCACAAATTATACCTGCATCAATCGAAATATTAATATTATGTGTATAATTTCTTTTAGTAACCATGATAATATTAGAACAGAATATTTATTGTTAGGTGAAGTGACCATCACAGTCAGAAACATTAAACATACAACATAATCCATTTTGATGAAGGTTTAAACCCTGAGACATAAGCTGCTATGGTTTTTGTATTATATGGGTATATATTAATTAAAAGTAGAAAAGTTTGATGAGTTTGAAAGATAAAATTTCACAGATCTCTCCCTATAAATAGTTTTCCATTGTTACGTCTTTTCTTCATCTGAGGCATGGCTTCTCTACACTCAGTGGTGTTGGTGATGGTTGGAGTACTGGTGCTTCTCAACACTCCAGTGTTGGCTTATTTCAAACCCTTGTTGTTTGAGCATACCCCAGAGCGTGGTATCCAAAAACCACCCACCCTTACTCCATTGTCATCTAAGTTCAGACCATTATCCTATTCTCCTCCTCCAAAGAAAGATGAGAAACCATTACAGTATAAAGCACCAAGAAGTTCATCACCAAAAAACGGAACTAGTTAGCCACTCATTGTAGCTTACCTGTTCTACGTACACTAGTACTTCTTCAAAAATTCAAAATAAATGTAAACATTTCAATTTTCTTTCAATAATCCATGTGCATTGTAATGCCAATTATATATTACTGCCTTATCTGTGTTTGTCAGTAATCGTTTGAAATTTTCTTCTGCTGGCAATTTAATTAACATCTTCAATTTCTGATCAAATCTTCATATATATCATCTCGTTTGCAAACATGTTTTTATCCGTTTTAAGGTGTAAAGACAGAATATTTAAACACAGCCATAGATAGAACCACTAATAATGGACATTACAATATATATGGTTACTGAAACGAGAACTGAAGTTATATATTACAGAGAGGCATAAAGCCTTTATTTTGAAGAAGCGGTGCATGCAGAAAAGACAGATTGTACGTACTTCACGTCTTAAAAGTGCTTCCTAAAAGGCAACAAAAAACTTTATATGACAAACGACAGGTTGAAGTTTGAGTAGACCAAAACATGTGATGTTGACCACTGGTTATTATGTTGTCTTGGATGGTGGATAGTGGACATAAGGTGGGGGATTGTAGATTGGTGGCTTCTCCAGTGGTGGTGGCTCATAAAATGGTGGTTTCTCGTAAGGAGGATTGTAAATGGGTGGTCTCTCGTGAGGAGGGTGGTATACTGGGGGAGGATACACTATTGGCGGTGGCTTCTCATAAGGGGGTTGATACACTGGTGGTGGTTTCTCATAAGGGGGTTCATACACTGGTGGTGGCTTCTCATGAGGAGGTTGGTATTCTGGTGGTGGCTTCTCGTGAGGAGGTTGATATTCTGGTGGTGGTTTCTCATGAGGAGGTTCGTATTCGGGTGGTGGCTTTTCATGTGGAGGTTGATATTCTGGTGGTGGTTTCTCGTGAGGAGGTTGGTATTCTGGTGGTGGTTTTTCATGTGGAGGTTGATATTCTGGTGGTGGTTTCTCATGAGGAGGTTGGTATTCTGGTGGTGGTTTCTCATGAGGAGGTTGGTATTCCGGTGGTGGCTTCTCATGGGGAGGTTGGTATTCCGGTGGTGGTTTCTCATGAGGAGGTTGGTACTCCGGTGGTGGCTTCTCATGAGGAGGTTGGTATACCGGTGGTGGCTTCTCATGGGGAGGTTGGTATTCCGGTGGTGGCTTCTCATGGGGAGGTTGGTATTCCGGTGGTGGTTTCTCATGAGGAGGTTGGTACTCCGGTGGTGGCTTCTCATGAGGAGGTTGGTATTCCGGTGGTGGTTTCTCATGGGGAGGTTGGTACTCCGGTGGTGGCTTCTCATGAGGAGGTTGGTACTCCGGTGGTGGTTTCTCATGAGGAGGTTGGTATTCCGGTGGTGGCTTCTCATGGGGAGGTTGGTATTCCGGTGGTGGTTTCTCATGAGGAGGATGGTACTCCGGTGGTGGTTTCTCATGAGGAGGTTGGTATTCCGGTGGTGGCTTCTCATGGGGAGGTTGGTATTCCGGTGGTGGTTTCTCATGAGGAGGTTGGTACTCCGGTGGTGGTTTCTCATGAGGAGGTTGGTATTCCGGTGGTGGCTTCTCATGGGGAGGTTGGTATTCCGGTGGTGATTTCTCATAAGGAGGTTGGTGTTCCGGTGGTGGCTTCTCATGAGGAGGTAGGTATTCTGGAGGTGGTTTCTCATGAGGTGGTTGGTATTCTGGTGGTGGCTTTTCATATGGTGGTGGTTTTTCATGAGGAGGCTGGTATTCAGGTGGTGGTTTTTCATGAGGAGGCTGGTATTCGGGTGGTGTGTTTTCATGAGGAGGCTGGTATTCAGGTGGTGGCTTCTCATGAGGAGGATGGTATTCTGGTGGTGGCTTCTCATGAGGAGGTAGGTATTCCGGTGGGGGCTTGTCATGAGGAGGTTGGTATTCCGGTGGTGGCTTCTCATGAGGTGGCTTGTGATGAGGAGGTTGATATTCTGGTGGTGGATGCTCATGAGGTGGCTGGTACTCTAGTGGAGGTTTGTGGTGATGGGGTGGTTTTGGATGAGGTGGTTGATACTCTGGTGGTGGCTTCTCATATGGAGGGTGGTGGAGTGGTGGTGGTGGTGGTGGGTAGAATGGGGGCCTATAAGATGGTGGAGGTTGATAGGTGGGTGGAGGTTCATAGGAAGGTGGTTTCTGAAATGGAGGAGGCTCATAGAAGATGCGTGGCTTGAAAGAAGCAAATACCGGAGTGGTGAGAAACACCACCCCAAGTAGGAGCAACAGGAGTGAGTGTAGAATCCAACTCATCATATTTCTCAGCTGGTCGTGAAGAAAACTCATAACATTTCCAAACTATTTATAGCAGAAAAGGTAACATCATCATTCTTTACTTTTACAAAATACATAATAATATTCAAATAAAATCCTCAAGACATAATATTAAAATAAATTATTAATTTTTTAACTATTTTATTTAACTAAATCGTTTGTTATTATATATATTTTTGTTTTTAACATACTAATATTCTCACGTAAGTAATACATTTTTTTAGCTTCAGAGTAATAATCGAGGAATTAAATTTTCAAAGACTTTGTTTAACATATTTTTAATATTAAATAGAATTATAGGCTTCCTAGAGTAATTCATTACGGTAAGAACTATGTTCGTAGTAACTAGGCACAGTTAGATAGAGATAAAAAGATCGCAAAAATCTTGATCATGAATTAAAAAGAAAAGTGAGAGAATAATGACATGTACGAGTAATTAGGCACAACAGTATATATAAACTATTTTTTTTCAAACATTATTATAACTCTAATTTATTAATATAATAATAACCAAAAGTAAATATAAAAATTAAAATATTATTATTATTATTATTATTGCTATTATTATATTAATAAATTAGAGTTATTGAATTGTTGTTTTTTATGAGTAAAATATTCTTTTTTTCTAGGTACAACAGATATCAAAGTTGAAATTGCATAAGAAGTTTTAAGGATGCTTATCTTCATTATAGACACAGCAAAAAGATCTTTTATATATTTGTGCTTGTTATTTAAATGTGATCGATAGAATAGTGAAAATTAGAATGATAACGATGAATTAATCTAGCAAGACAAAATCGTTTATATAAATGGACACAGTAAAATAGGTTGCTTGAGAACTTGCAAGTTGCATTTGTTAAATGGTTACACAAGAATAAAAACTATGTTCGTAACATAATTATAGTATTTGGATATGTTTTGGAAAAAAAAAGTGAAATATAAAAATAATTTGTTTCGGTATACTCGTTCACATGTAGTTTAGAAATGGAGGTGACAACTTTATATATATTTTATATTTTAAGGTAAAAGTGTGATAGGATTGAAGCCAATTAAATTTTGTCCCTTTTTATTAATTTTTTAATTTTTTTTGGATAATAAATAGAACTTAATAAAGGTTATTATTTTACTTGTACGTAAAATGATATTCTTATGGAGGTTCCGTGGGAGCATAAAATTTCCAAATCTAAGCAATATAAAAAATGTGGAAATATATTTATATTTAATGTGTTGCTGCGTTGGCCTAGAGCACAGTATCTGGGAACTCATGAAAATGTATCCATGAAAAAGATTTCACTCAAAGAGATTGTATCCTCTTTTATCTTCTTGTCACACAAGAAGGAGTACGTTTTATGTTTTTTTATTGTGGGTTGAAAGTTAATGAATTTTAATTTACATAGAAAATTAATTTAGATGAATTCTTTAGTTCATACTTCACTGTATCCTCACCAAAACTTTAGCATGTAGCCATGTTTAGATGCATGGATGTTTTGTCGGAGACAGTGACATGTTAACTAATCTTTGACAACAATTGGACCATGCATGCCCGTCTCTTGCTTGTTAACCAAAGGTCAAGAAACTGTTCATTTTTTTCAAAAAAACTTATTAATTACCAGAAATTAACAATGAACAACATATATATATATATATATATATATATATATATATATATATATATATATTTGTATTACTCGAATAATAGCATAAAACTGTATTATATTTATCGATGCATAGTATTTTTATTTTATCTTCAAAGTCATCTTAATATATAGTAAATGATAACATTTTTACTAGTTTACTGAGTAGTGCAGATAAATTGCAGTAATCTTAAGAGTAAAGGTATTTAATTATTAATTTTCGGATTAGCAATTATTATTAAGTATTTTATCATCTTTATCCGGGGAATCCATGTCATTATGATTCAAAATGAAATGAATAGTTGGAATTTAAACAATTGAATTAGCTTTTTCACATGGGTCGAAATTTAAATGTTTTAGACTCTGTCGTATATGAGATCAATTATATGTATCATCTAGTACATTTTAAAAATAAAAAACAAAAACAAAACAGAAGATAATATCGAAACATTACATCTTGGTTTCCTTAAAAAGGTTGAATCCGAAGAGAAGGTAAAAAGAACGTTCTGTTCTTGCCCTGACTGTTCGTCAGATACCATACATAACCTAAATTTAGGTTTAGTATATGTACTCGTTACAACTTGTCATTCTGAGCCTCCAAGTGTAACTCGGGAAATTTGATTTCATTTATGATTTTATCTATTACTTTAAGAATAATGAAACAACTATTTTTTATCGTGAGTGAAAGAAAATTGAATGTTAAACGTATTTGAGAATACTAAGGTTACAAATCATTACATTTAATAATTTTCTTAATCAAAGAAATGAATTCAAATGGTTAATATACTATCCAAAATGAACTTTTACACCCAGAATCAAACATCCAAACAACAACTTCGAGTTTAAAAAGTGATTTTATTAAAATTCAGGGTTCTATGGACAATTTCAAAGAGTGAAAGTTATAGTTTAGAGATAGGTGAGAGAGTTAGGTGAGAGAGTTAGGTGAGAGAGTCTCTTGTGAATAATACAAAGGTGAAAGTTGTTGGAAAAACAATAATAATAATAATCTTGATTTTGATTATAACGATTAAACATAAACATAATCTCATACTGATAAACATGTTGTAAACTGAATGTGAAAGCGTACCTGAATTAGCCATAATGATGATGTCTTTGTAGAGCACTGTATTGATCTTATGGTCTTCCACCTGAAGACCACCTGTATTTCCTTCTTGATTTTCTCTCTTGATGGGGATAGAAAGAAAGGAACAGGAATGAAACTTACGTTCTATCTCTGTGCTCCCAGAAGGGGACCACGACCCCTTAAAATAACCAGAATTAAGTTAATTACTTAAGTTTTAGTATTTCCAATTTGGCCCCTCATCAAATTAGAAATTGCTCAATGGTCTCTACACAATTTTATTTTCATGACATATGTCTTTAGCCAAAACTTTAATTTAGTCAGATCACTTTATTATTTGGCTTAATAAATAATGACCCTAACACATTTAAATTATGTATCATATATATACATGACCCAAATTTTGCCAACAATCTCCCACTGGTCACAAATATATATGTCTTTACAACCTTACAAATGTGTTAGACTTTATGAGCTCAAAATTGCCATTATATTCCTTTAGCATACTACAAAAGTCCTGTCCATTAATTATATCAGGATATAGAACCAAACCAGCTTTTCATTGCATCATCGCAACTAAAACCAACAATGATTACTCATCCTAACATAACCAAATGACATGGATTCATCATGAAATGTGCAGCATGAAAAATTACGTGAAGGTGATCTGTACACGTCTATTTTCAACTGGTCCAAACTTTAACTTATCGAGATCGATATAATATCTTTAATGTACAAAGTGTAATGAATGAACGAAAAAACTGCATATCTATAGATAACCAAATATGTGCAAAAAATCAATGTATACATATATGAAATTAAACATAGAACATAAAATATATGAAAGTGACTAACTCCCACTAAACCACAAATTCATCAAACTGTAAAACACCCATGTGAGCAACATGCTCATGAAAGACCTTGGGCGGAAGTCCTTTAGTCAGAGGATCTGGTATCATGGAGTTTGTCCTTAAGTGTTCTATGAAAATCTGTCCACTTTGTACTCTTTCCTTAACAATACAGACTGATTTATTGTCACAATATAACTTAAGTGGTCTTTCAATGTCTTTCACAATTTGCAGCCCTGTGACAAAATTTCTCAGCCATATTCCATGATTTGATGCCTCATAGCATGTTACAAATTCTTGACATCCTACAAAATCTAAGTCAGAAAACCCAACGATCTCCAACTGGTCTGACCTCCTATATGTGAGCATATAATCTTTTGTTCTCTTTAAATATCTTATGACCATTTTTGCTGCTTTTCAATGGTCTATTCCTGGATTGCTTAAATATCTACCTAGAACCCCAACTATATATGCTATGCTGGATGCGTACATACTTGGGCATAGATCAAACTCCCTACAACTGATGCATAGGGAATCTTTTGCATTTCCTCAATTTTCTAATTTCCCTTTGGGCACTGATTGAGACTAAACTTGTCTCCCTTAGCAACTTGTGATACATACAATCATCAACAATATTCATCTTGAAGCCAAATGAGTTTCATACCTTCTGGTAATGGGACAAGTTCCCAATAACCTTATTGTCTTGCATGGACTTATATTTATCCTATTGCTTCAATCCACTTTTGAGAGTTAGAACCTTGTATAGCTTGACGGAAGTTAACTAGGTCATCTTCCATTATATCATTATTTTCCTCATGTTCCTGAAGAAATACCATGTAATCATCCGAAATAACACTTCTTCTTTCTCTAGTGGATCTCTGCAAAGTTATTAGCTCATGATGCACAGGTTCTTGAGGATCTTGAGTTTGTTCTTCATGAACAACCAAATAATCTTGAGTAAGGGGTTCATCAACAATGCCTTGTGGAGGTTCCGAACTTACTTTATCAAAAGTAACTATTTGAATCGGTTCTGAAATTGTTACCGATTCTTCCTCCAAGATGAAATTCTTAATCTTATTCTTCCCCCCAAACTCAATATCCTCAAAGAACGTAGCAGTTCCCATCTCAAAAATTGTCTTTAATGTGGGATCATAAAATTTATATCCCCTGGATCTTTCAGCATAACCAATAATATAACTACTTACTGTTCGGGAGTCCAATTTCTTTTCATTTGACTTATAAGGTCTTGCCTCAGCTGGACAATCCCACACATGGAAATGCTTCAGACTAAGTTGTCGCCCAATCCAAAACTCATAAAGTGTTTTGGTAGCTGCTTTAGT